TGGTTTGGATGTAGCCGGTGAATTGGTGAGACCAAAGAACATGACAAGCGGCTCGAATAGTCCTCGATTCGTTAGGAATGCTGCCTTCTCTTCGTCTCCTTCTTTGATGCGGATGTTGTTGTATCCCCATTGGACGTCTAATTTTGTAAAGTACCGCGCCTGCTTCAACTTGTCTACTAGTTCCTGTATCAAAGGAAGTGGGTAGCGGTTTTTTATCGTCAGCTCATTCAGCTTTCGATAGTCTTGTACGGGTCGAAGTTGTCCATCTTTTTTCTTGACAAAGAAGAAAGGAGAAGCCCACGGAGATTTCAATGGTCTGATTCTCCCGGTTCGGAGGTTCTCTTCTATGAACTCATCAAGTTCTTTTTGTTTGTTTACAGAAATAGGGTAAACTTTGCAACTGATCGGTTGCGCACCTGGTGTAAGTTCGATCGCATGGTCCCACGGTCGTCTTTGCGGTAAAGAATCAAAGTCCTCTTTGCTAAATACGTCGGAGTAGTCGTGATAGTGACTCGGGACGGTATTTTCAAAGGTCTTGGCTTCGTGTTTCAGGCTTTCTTTGATCGCTAGATCAGTGGCTGTGGTGCGAATGCGTGCTGCTCCCGTCGTGAAGTACATTTCATGGTCTAAAATGAAGATTCTATCCCCTTCTTCTAGGCGAGCCTCCGGATCGCTGGGTTCCTCATGATCGGCATCAATATCTATTAATCGGGTTGCGTATTTGCAGGTGATTGGGCACCGATCAAACTGAATGATTTGCTTTTGCCAATCGATAGATGGGTTATGAATCTGTAACCACTCATATCCAAGGAAGATTGGAGTCTTCCCTAGATTGGTAACTGCGAAAGGAAGTCGCTCTACATGGTTCTGAATTTCCACCCTTAACTCGACGAAGTCTGTGATAGCACCGCCAGCATTATGCGTGCCATCTGCATTATAGACAGGGACCGGTGATGGCAGTTTCTTTGTAGCAATGTTGTTATCGCGGACAAACTGCGCATCAATCGAAGATCCAGTACATCCTGTATCTAATAGCGCTTTGACTGATAAGCGCTGCTGCGTGTCCAGGGTGGTTATGATCATTGGGACGTCCATCTGTGTCCCCTTCCTTCCTCGGATAAACCGGGGCTGCTTTCTCAATTCATTTAAGAAGTCTATGGCTTCTTCTTCTTTCATCTGCCTGATTTGGTTCATACAGGCTTCGGAGGCATCAACACTCTTCTTTGAGTGTACCCATTCAGTCAGCAATCTAAGCACCGAGGCTTCTTTGCTGATTATCCATTGGCGGATCCAAGCCGCTGTCCAAGGTGTGTGGCACTGCCATTGCGTAGATTCGGTCTGATGTTCTGGTGTAGGTAATAATTTTTTATTCGGGGGAATTAAGCAAGAGGGTTGTGCCTCTCCACGCCGTTCTACAAACGCCCCTTTTTGTGGTATATACATAGATACACCGAACCAGGAACACAGATAGTTCGTGAAATTCTTTTCGGTCAACTCGGCTACGCACCCGGCTGACCACTTGCAAAACCCTTCATGGCCGCACGAATTTCTTTGTGGATTGCCTTCTTCCAGTCAAACGGTTCTGCCGTCGCGGCAGGGGCTTCATTGAGTGATGCGAGTGGTGCGAATGTATTGGTGGGGGGAACTACCGGGGTTTCCACAGCTCGTACTTGTTGAGCTTGTTGTCGATTAGGGCAATTTCGTGATATGTGGCCCTGTTGACCACATCGGAAACAAAGACCCTGACGTCGCGCTTGATCCAAATCCATCGGTTGTCCCCTATCGCCGAATGTGACACCGGTTCCGTCGCGCCGTGTTTGAACTGGCGCAGTAGCAGTTGCTGGTGCGGGTGCGTTTGTTCGCGGTGGGTTTTGCGCCTGCTGCTGCCTTGGTTGAAACTGTCCCTGTCGTTGGAACTGAGGGTTTCTTTGACGATACTGTTGCTGAGTTAGGTCGATGCGCACGACCCGTTGCTTGTAGAGTGCATATGTGGCGGGGAGTTCTTCCGATGAATTGTATAGAAGTCGGATGATGTCGGCCCGGAGCGCTTTTTCTAGAAGCGACTTGAGTTTCTGGAAGTGTGCTTCGAAGTCGTGAATATTCGCCTGGAAGGCGCACAACTCAAACTTCGAGAAGAACTCTTGCGCTGATAGCGTTCCCATCTGCATTGCTTGCAAACGGTCGTAGGCTTCGGCCTGCTCGTCGATTAGGAAATGTCTATCCAAATCCGTCCATAGTTCTGCCGTGGTCTGGATCACCGTGTTTTCATCGGTGTTGTATTTCTTCATGTATGTGGCGACGTATTCGCCAGCATGTCCTCCTTTCATATAGGACAAGATCATTAAGACCCTGTCGAATTGCTCAGGCAGTCGCTTCCTTTGCGTTACTACATAGAGCTTCATCTGTGTCTTCCAAGCAATATACTTGGACTTCGTGCCATCGAAGGCATCAGGCTTCATTGCACTTCCATTTATGAGCGCGGCATTGTCTTGGTTCTTGGCCATCGCGCCGGGATCAGATGGGGATGAAGGTGGAGTGGGAGAACGGCGAGAAGGTGGGTTCGAAGCTTCGGAATCTTCTACTGCTTCTTCCACGGGATCTGGTGGGCCTTCTGATGGTGCTTCGGATTCTCCGAGGGCAATTGAGCGGAGATGGTCAGTGACTGATTCGAGAGTGTCTCGTCTGGTTCTGGATTCTGAACCAGATGCTCTGAGTTGTGGAGCTGCGATAGATTCTGAGGGTGCTCCTGTGGTAACTCTCTGTACTATTTCTCCGCGTAGTCCTTCCCTACACCGGGGACAACGATTGCTATTATCCGGAGAATGCGGGCAGGGCTGTTGCGCGCAGTACCGTAAGTTGTCACCTCGTAGGTAGATAGATCTTCCCTCTAGCTCCCAATGTGTATGTCCTCTACAATCGCAAGAAGGCGTGGTCATAGGGTGTTGGGTCTGTGGAGCTGGTTGCAGCAAACCCTGGGACTAATCGTGTTGTAATGACCAGATCAGGGGTAGAGTTCGCCAAAGATAGGGATTTTCCAAAAAAGAGCCGAAACGCTATTTTAATACAGTTCTAGGAATAGTATAGCAGCCCAAAGAGCGATTATGTCTCTTCGGTCCGACGCCCAGCCTCAGCCGGTTGCCACGTTGTACTCAGGAATATCCGCTTGCACTGCGCAAAGCGTTTAACACCACCTATGATAGGGCAGTGTACAATTCTAATTGGACGGAGCTCTGTCCAGCCGCCTAAGGGCTGGTGATTACAGAGGTGGCTTCGGGGTATGTGATATGGTAAAAATGTGCAAGTGCACGGAGAAGGGTTCCAGGGGTCCGGGTCTTGATGCGATAGAATGCGATAGGGTTAGGAGTTAGGGTGAGAGTCAGATGTGCTTATAGGGTGGATCGTTGTGTGGAGATGGGTGATGGTTGGTGTGGAAGTGACGGGGATCGTCGTAGGGCAGTTGGTGGAGACTCGAGCTAATGTCAGCAACTAACAATCCAACTGGACTGAGCTACGACAGTGCTGAGGAGACAGACGAGAGGAAAGTGAGTGAGGAAAGACCAGCTCGAGTCTGGCTTGTTATTGAGCAGTACAAGCTCCTTATATACATGTCAGAATGAATACCTAGAATATCCTACGAATATACGGAGGTGTATAGAAAGTGAAAGAATACCATGGAATCCGGGAGAACCATCCGGATTGTGTAATATTCATGACACATTCGAACGAAGACTGAATCGGGCCCACAGGAAATCCAGCGCGGTCGACGCGATACTTGTAGAGGCGATGCGGCGATGCAGGCTTTGAGGTGTGTTCTTTGAGTATACCACGGATGTGCGACTTTGTGAGGTGAATGCGAAAATGTGCGCTGAGAAAATGGTTTTACGCCTTCATGAAAGAAGGCAAGTTTTGTTTCAGGAGGTTTGGCTGGACAAATGGGACTTATCGATTATTAGTTTCTTCGCCGTCTGTGTCCTACTGCGCAGAGCTAATGAATTTATCACACTGTGTTGCGATATCGCAGATCATTTTTATAGCTGTAATTGAGGAATAAACGCAGTTGACAGCGCCGTTGTGTCACTGTCATGCACCGGACTCGTCTGCATCCTCCAACTAAGCCAGGACGCGGCCTAGTTAGCCAGCTTGTGCTGCGCCTTAATGAGATCAGCAGCCCGTTCTGCGAGGGTGTACACGATAGCTTGTATGTGGCAATTCGGAATAGTCGGCTGGATGTCCCACACCATGAACTCGAGCCTAACAGTCGGGCGAGAACTACTTACGAACACCGAAGCATCGACGATACGAAGTCCCGTTGCGCCTTTGACGCTCAGCTTCGAGTCTATGACACTGCCCTGTATATCGTCTGCTGACATGGCGCGTGTCCCACATGGATGGTTCATCGTATGGGCGTTCTCCTTGACAAAGACCAGTTTGCTGGCGTCGTTGCCGATGTTAGCTGCGAGCCCAACCGGGCCTTTAACGTAGTTCTTGAAGGGACCTGAGTCGGTAAACTGGACGGCATAAGTGACTGCTCATATCATTGCCTCAGCGTCAAACGGGTGGGTGAGCAGCACAGGGTCGATGGCGGGTGCATCAAAAGCATCAGGCGAGGAAAGCTTCTTGGAGTTGTCTGGACGTCAGTGTTACGCATAAGGCGAGTTGTATACATACGTGACATTGGGGACACTAGACTAGTAAGGATAGTCAAGTAGTTTCCAGATGACGGTGGGGGCGCACCACCGAACGGTGCATAACCATTCTAGCCGTTTTTCATCGCGGAACTCGCAGGAATGATATATGACATACACAATATATAAACTCTAGGTGTGCAGACCGCGGTCCCGCAGCAGGGTCCGGACAGTCCTGGAATGCAGGATCATTGTCCAGCAGGCGGATAAAGCTGTAAGTATTCGCTGGTGAGTTGACAAATAACCCCCTGCACCTCTCCTTCCATCCATAGCCGCGTTCACTGCATCTCTGTCACGCAGCACAGGATCCCATGTGTCTGCAGAGCTAACCTCAAAGTGCAGGCCGGCCGTGAGATGGTCTTGGTAGTTGTCCCCAACCTCATCATTGTCCACAACAACAGGAATGCCGTGAGCTGAGAGTAGATCCTATTCCCGTGGCCTGTCACAACTTTTAACGCCGACCCATGAGGCAACGTGATGCCTCATAATGGGTTGGACTAGCGCTGGCTCACGATGCCTCGCGAGGCAAACGCTATCCTCATTAGTCTCGTTTCCATCCGCTCTTAACTCCGACGTGTAAACACTGTCGGCCAGTGCATCGGACTTTGAAAGCAAAGTGCACTGGCTCGTTAGAGTGTCTGGTCCACTTGGATCATCCGGGGGGGTCTCGTCCGCACGTGACTGACGCGCATACCGCGCCCGTAGCCTGCCGTTGGCGGCTATTTGGGCTGCAGTGGTACTCTCCGTTGCAGGGGGCTTATAAAAACACAAATGTACTCAAGAATATATCAGAGGCACTTTTACATATATGTCTGACTGCATACACGAACGCCTTACTCATCACCAGCAACTTGGCGGTGCGCAGGCGGTCACTTCCTCAGGGAGCGTGTAGATCACGTGCGAATGAGGCCCCCCCGGATGATCCAAGTGG